TGAAGACAGACGCACAGAGAAAAATACTGTAGCAGGCAGATCACTCACTGTTCATGATGCACGAACTATTGGAAGAAAATCCTCAATATTGATTTGGGGGTTTATATGAACGTGTTTCTAATGGGGAACTGACTGTCTTCAGAAAAGTTTACATGGTATTTTCTTTTCATCTCGTCTCTGTATAGATCATGGGCGAGTTCCAAATGGCTTTTTTGCGCCCTTGAAGGGCACTTCGGGAAGGGGACGCCGTTTGTAGGGACGTTCCAAACGAAAGTGAACAACTGAATCCCTTCGCGAAGGGCCCTTCCAGAAGTCCGTTAGCGAAAGGAACATGCGATGGTCACTTCCCGGAAGTGATTTCCATTAGTGATCATGTGATCTTCAGTTAGGAGATCTTGCGACGCTTTTTAAAGCAGAGTTGTGGTTGATTTCGACACAAACTTAAGTAGAATAGGTTAATTAAATTTGTCTTTATTTTAATGTAGGCCTAATACAAAATATTTTTCATCAGAAATATTATTTAAGATGGTAGTGTAAGCAAGTTTAGTTTGAAAAAGCTTAATAGTAAGTAAGACACAATTAGACAATATTTGAATAAAATAATAATAATGAGAAGAAATATAGATTTGCAACAACTGGTGAAGTGCTGAATGCTGCACGCACGCGCAGCATTGTCAAGGTAACATTTGGTCAGTCATTCCCTTCGCCAAGGGATTTCCTAACGCTTATGCGAGACAGTAATGCCCTACACCCTTCAAAGAACACACTTCAAGGGCTCTGCCCTTCGAAGGGAGTAGGGCATAGGGATGCTCACTTCTGTTTGGAATTCGCACGCTTATACGAGACAGTAATGCCCTACACCCTTCAAAGAACACACTTCAAGGGCTCTGCCCTTCGAAGGGAGTAGGGCATAGGGATGCTCCCTTCCGTTTGGAATTCGCCCAGAAGGTTTCTGAAGAGCATTTTTGAAGCATAAAGTGGGCGGAGCGGGCCGTCGCCATCTTGGCAGCGCGTCACCACGAGTCACTCCTGGATAATCGTACATGTGCGAAGAGGCGGGACGTGGGTGGAGCTCGTTGCTGAATCCACGCCCGCCTAGCTCTACGGTGGTGACAGCAGCGGCAATCCACCTGTCACTCAAGTGGCCACGCCATTAATTATGCAGAACTTTAAGGCTTAATATAATTTAAACGGATATGGGGGATCTATGGGATTGACTCCCTGTTGGAGCCAGCCTCTAGCGGTCAGTCGATGAATTGCAGTTTAAGACACTTCCGTGTTGGTTTCAAGAGAGAGACGGGGAGGTTGCCGCTTGCGAAGGATACATCTATGCTGCCTTCAAAAATCTATCAGATGAAGGTATTTCATGAGACAGGAAGTGAAGCTAACTTTGGATTCGGACGTGCCTTGATGCCATCCTACATTGGAATGCGTCCTCCGAAGGCAGCATTTTAGAGCTTTCGGACGCAGCATTTGTCTCTCAAAAGAAAGAATCGATTCTGAACCGCCTTAACGAGACGTCATATTTTCGAATCTTCTGCCTGTTATCTATATACATCACAAGGTAACACATCTGCATAAACCCCGCCTGCCCACGAAATACGAACACTCCGACCTGCCCACAAACACTTCCGCTAGCTAGTGTGTTTACATCAGTTCGAGAAGATGCTGTGTTCTGCGCTGTGAAAGCAAGTTTGTTTTGTTTTCATTGCCGAAAGATGATGATGTGAAGACATCACTTAAAGTACCACAAACAAAGTTTAAATTTACCACTGAGAAACGTCGTGCTTGCGATGGAGTTTCCGGTTGAGCGACTGCATCCGTATCATCCTCGGACTCAGGCTTGAATTGATTAGGTAATACCGATGCCATTTTTGTAAGATTATAGCATCTTTGTTTACATGTAACCCAACATAGCAAAAAAATTATTATGGTAATGGGCGTTTCGTTTCCAACACGCACTGTGTACGAAAAGACCATTCACAAGAGACTTGGCCAGCTGACCAATCAGAGCAGAGTAGGCTTATAGAAGGGAGGAGTTTACAGACCAAGAACTGCTTCGAACAAATCGTTTCGAAATCATTGAAAAACGATTCTAATATTAAACGCATATTCTGAGAAAATGAAAATGTTTTCTGATCTTAGATGCATTTAAACCTGTTATAGGGGACTCCAACACTTTAAAATATCATATGACCTGCTCTTTAAAGACTTAATCGTTGACTGTCGGAGGAAATGCAGCACTGATATGTTGTTTATTTCACTGTGTTCTCAAAGTATATTATAGCTAGATTACCGGTATTATATTATATTAAAACAAAGTATATTATTACTATTATAATGTCTCCTAAATCGGCATTTTCTCAGGATAAAGGAGACACTAGGGGAAGTTGTTGGTTTATTATTGTGGATAGAAAAATAAAAATAAAACTAATGAGCTTAATAATAATGTAAACATTTACAAATGATGTTTTAGTAACCTAAATCATTATATGTGATCCACTGCTGAAACTATTAAACACACAGTTTGTATTCCTCCAGGAGGCGTTAGACATAAAAAAATTTAATATAACATGGAGAGACTCTTGAAGCTCAGAGTGAGAAAACTTTATTGACAAATGCAAGCAGATACCGATGAAAAATAGACAGCAGCAGTAAAGTGAGATCTGTGTGTCTTATCTGAGAAAATATGAACAATAAGTCCTTTCAAACTGGATTTCTGGATAATCTGACACTAAAAATGCAAGGAGAGAGTGCTTATGTTTTATTGTGTTCATGTTCAGCCAGTAGAAGAGTTTCAGTATTAGAGACGTCTGATCTATACAATAATATTCACAACTCTACACTACCTTTAAAAGTGATTTGAGGTGATTTTGAAAGTCCAATCAAATATGAAAGATTAGATTGTAAAAAAAAAAAAAAAAAAAACATTAAAAAGGAAAGCATTTTATATTAACTAATCTAGCATAAGCAATGCAATATTTGATAATCATCAGTATTTATCAAACACTCACATTTACTTTTAAGCGTTAATGAGAGAATATGTTGCTGTTTGTTCTCAAATCATCTTCTAAAGTGGAAATCAGCCACCTAAAATAAACACATACCAGTCTGTGAATGTACAAAACCATTACAAATAAATGAAAATTAATAAATAATAAACTAAATAGTTTTATGAGAAATGACATCAATCATGTACCTGATGTGTGAATCTGTGCTTGATCTTGTTCCGCCCTTCTGGATCTGATGTCATAAACCAGAAGAATGACAGTAGCCACGCCCACCAGAGCAGAGAGGACCAATCGGATCACAGCTTCAGTAGAACCACAACAGTGGACAGAGTCTGAGGAATAAAAACACCAAACTGAGATCAGCTCAGTCAATAAACGTTAATATCAGCGCCGACATCAACTAATATCAGCGCTGCCGTACCTGAACATGTGTGACAGAGTTGAGTGATGTCCAGATGTTGAGTCTGGTTGCTGATAGGATTGTTGAGCACACAGCTGTAGGTGTTTTTATCCTGATATTCCACCTCCAGAAGTAGCGAGAGACTGATGCTGAGATCAGACACACTGATGCTGGACAATAAACTGTTTCCTTTGTACCAGGAGAGAGTCACATGACCCACATTCACCACTGAACACACCAATGAACAATTGTGCTGTGATGATGATGATGATGATGAAGAACAGTCTCTGCTAATGACAGGAACAGGCAGACGAGCTGAAAACATGAGAGAATGAAGATAAGAACAAATCTAATCAACAATCATATTTTCGGTTGTATGTTGAGATCCAGTTTGATTGTCCAGCTTCAGTCTGTCTCTGAATCTCCCGTCAAGAGCATCATCACGAACAGTGAATCTGTTATTAACTGCAATCATTTAAGCTGTTAAATCGTTTTCACTCCCAAACCACCACCAAATCTGATCATCATCTGTTATTTCAGTAAAACCTGAGTTTAGAGTGACTGAATCTCCCTCCAGATTCATCGCTGATATTTCATCTGCATCATCAAACAGACAAAGAGAACAAACAGAAAGAGGGTTTGTCACAGATTAAGACTATTAAATAACATTATGATTGTTTATGAAAGTAACAAGTTTGAAATTTACATTTGAAATTAATAATAATATCATAAAACTATTCAACAGACAAAAAACACAAAATGGTGTGTGGATTAATGTTGTACTTGGAGATTACAATATTAAAATAAAATGGGTGAAACAAATATTTGACTCACCATAAACAACAAGAAGGAAAATAATGCTAATATGGTTGATCTCTACTTCATAATGTCCAGCATGTTCAGTTCTGATGTTTGTGATGGTCAGAGATCCAGTTTGTTTGTCCAGCTTCAGTCTGTCTCTGAATCTCCCGTCAAGAACATCCTCATATACAGTGAATCTGTCGGCCGGTTTATTGATTTCAGCTATTAAAGTGTTTCCAACCCAAAACCACCACTGAATCAGATCACCATTTCTTATTTCAGTAAGACCAGAGTTTAGAGTGACTGAATCTCCCTCCTTCACTGACACTGACTTCAGTACATCTGTATCAGCAAACAATCCTGAAGAACAGAGTTTTTCACAGATTAAAGCTTTAAAATCACTTCATGTTGGTTTGATGAAGCAAAACACTTCATTTTATAAAAATCATTTTATAGTGAATAATATTCTGCAGCAGTACAAAAACAAAATATGATGAATGAAAAGAGAAATAGATTTATATATGGAACAATATTTAAATAAAAAAGACAGTTTTACTTTAATGTTTAACATCACACTAAAACTAATGCTGTTGGTATTTGAGCTTCATAATTGTGTTATATTTAAAGGGGTGGTTCACTGGTTTTTTTCTAGGCTTGATTGTGTTTATGGGGTGCAGTCTAGGATGGGTTAATGCTTCGGTGTAAAAAAAAAAAACACATTATTTTTCACATAATTTACCTTTATTCCACACCACTCTGTCCCTTCTCTGAGAAACGGGCTGATCTTTTCCTGTTTTTTTTAAGCCCCACCCTCAGAAATAGGCGATGGCTCTGATTGGTTTGCTAGCCCAGTGTGTGATTGGCTAAACCGCCTCTAGTGTGCATCTAAACGTCCCGCCCCTCACCTCAGAGACATGTGCTCCAGTTGTATTGTAAACAACGGCGTCATTAATATCGCTTATTAGTTTGAGCCCGATTGAGAAGCAGAGGATATTATTGAAGAGGATCGTGCAGAACCTGTGCAAGCACGGCTTTTAATGGTAGGCCTATGTTTTTTGTTTGTTGTTGTCTCATACTTTTAGATATGCTGTTCTTCGTAAATGCTACTGCTTATGTTAGCTATTAATATACGGTTTTATTCTGATTAAAGCTTTAATACAGTACGGCAACCGCGTAAAGTGTATAAAAGTGTATAATTGGAACAGTTCATTGTTGGAGCTGAGCTGGGTGATCTGAATGAGAGAGAGAGAGAGAGAGAGAGA